ATGTCAACAAGTTGGACAACTTAAAAGAAATGGATAAGTTCCTAGAAACATATAATCTTCAAGACTGAATCAGAAAGAAACAGAAAATTTGAATAGACTGATTACTAGTAACAAAGATTCAATCAGTAATCAAAAACTCCCAACAACAAAAGCCTAGGACCAGATGGCTTCACAGGTGAGTTTTACCAAACATTTAAAGAAGAGTTAGTACCTATTCTTCTCAACTTATTCCAAAAAACAGAAAAGGAAGGAGAATTTGAAAATTCATTCAAAAAGGGCAGCATTACTCTGATACAGAACCAAAGACACTACAAAAAAAGAAAGCTACAGGCCAATATCCCTAATGAACCCAGTTGGGAAAAAAAAAAAAATCCTCAAGAGAATATTAGCAAACCAATTCAACAACACATTAAAAGGATCATTCACCACAATCAAGTGGGATTTATTCCAGGGATCCAACGATGGTTCAATATCTGCAAATTGATCAGCATAATACATCACATTAAAAAATGAAGGATAAAAACCATATGATCACCTCAATAGATGCACAAAAAGCATTTGATAAAATACAACATCCATTCATGAAAAAACCTCTCAACAAAGTAGGTACAGAGAAAACATACCTCAAAATGATGGCCATATATGACAAAACCAAAGCTAACATTATATTCAGTGGTGAAAACTGAAAGCTTTTCCCCTAAGGTGAGGAAAAAGACAAGGATATCCACTCTCACCCTTTTATTGAACATAGTACTGGAAATTTTAGCCATAGCAATCAGACAGGAAAAAGAAATCAAAGGCATCCAAATTGGTTAAGGGGAAAGTAAAATTATCACTATTTGCAGATGACATGATACTATATATCCCTAAAGACTCTACCAAAAAAACTATTAAACCAAATAAATGAATGCAGTAAAGTTTCAGGGTACAAAATTAATAAACAGAAATCTATGGCATTTCTATACAGTAATAATAAAGTAGGAAATTAACAAAATAATCCCATTTACAATTACACCAAAAAGAATAAAATACCTAGTGATAAATTTAACCAAGGAGGTGAAAGACCTATACTCTGACAACTATAAGACACTGATGAAAGAAATCAAAGAGAACACAACCAAATGGAAAGATATACCATGCTCATGGACTAGATGAATTAATACTGTTAAAATGTCCGTATACCCAAAGTAATCCACAGATTCAGTACAATTCCTATCAAAATGCCAATAATATTTTCCACAGAACTAGAACAAATTTGTATGGAACAATAAAAGAACCCCCAAATAGCCAAAGCAATCTTGAGAAAGAACAAAGCTGGAGGTATCACGATCCCAAATTTCAAGCTATCCTACAAAGCTATAGTAATCAAAACAGCATTGTACTGGCACAAAAATAGACATATAGATCAATAGAACAGGATGGGGCGCCCAAATACAAACCCATGCTTATATGGCCAATTAATCTATGACAAAGGTGGCAAGAATACACAATGAGGAAAAGACAGTCTCACCAATAAAAGATGTTGGGAGAACTGGACAGGTATGTGCAAAAGAATACAACTGGGGGTGCCTGGGTGGTTCAGTTGGTTAAGCATTGGACACTTGATTCTGGCTCAGGTTGTAATCTCAGGGTCATGAGATGGAGCCCTGCTGTCAGGCTCAGGTGTTAGTGTGGAGTCTGCTTAAGACTCTTTCTCCCTCTTCTTCTGCCCCCTTCCCCACTCTGTCTCTCTCTCTCCCTAAAATAAGTAAATAAATATTTTAAAAAAAAGAATAAAACTGGACCACTTTCTCAAAACACACATGAAAATTAACTCAAAATGAATTAAAGACCTAAATATGAGACCTGGAACCATAAAACTCCTAGGACAAAATAGGCAGTAATCTCCTGGACATCAACCTTAACAACATATTTATAGATATGTCTCCTCAGGCAAAAGAAACAAAAAGCAGAATTAAACTATTAGGACTACAACAAAATAACAAGCTTTTATAGTAAAGGACACTATTAACAAAATGAAAAGGCAACCTATTGAATGGGAGAAGATATTTGCAAATGACATATCTGAAGAGGGGTTAATATCTAAAATATATAAAGAATTTATACAATTCAACACCAAAAATACAAATAACCCAATTAAAAAATGAGAAGACCTGAAAGGTCTGAAAGGTTTCCAAAGGAGACACAGATGACCAACAGATACATAAAAAGATGCTCAATATGACTAATCATCAGGGAAATGCAAATCAAACCACAAGATATCACTTCATACCAGTCAGAATGGCTAATAACAAAAAGACTAGCAACAAGCGTTGGTGAGGATGTGGAAAAGAGAGAACCCTCATGCACTACTGGTGGGTATATTGGTGCAACTACTGTGGAAACGGTATGGAGATTTGTCAAAAAATTTGAAATATAAATACCATATGATCCAGTAATTCCACTACTGGGTATTTATCCAAAGAAAGCAAAAACACTAATTCAGAGAGATATATACACCCCTATGTTTATTGTAGCATTAATTACAATAGCCAAAATATGGAAGCAACCTAAGTGTCCATCAATAAATGAAGAAAGATGTGGTATATATATCCAATGGAATATTACTCAGCCATAACAAGTGAACGAGATCTTACCTTTGTGACAACATGGATGGACCTACAGGACATTATGACAAGTGAAATAAGTCAGAAAGACAAAGACAAATACCATACGACTTCACTTATATGTGTATTATAAAAAAACAAAATAAATGAAACAACAAAAACAAAACAGAAAATACTCATAAATACAGAGAACAAACTCTTGGTTGCCAGATGAGACAGGGGTTGCAGGAATGGCAAAATAGGTAAAGGGGATTAAGAGGTAAAAACCGCTGGGCGCCTGGATGGCTCAGTCGGTTAGGCGTTTGCCTTTGGCTCAGGTCATGATCCCAGGGTCCTGGGGTCGAGCCCCACATCGGGCTGCTTGCTCAGCGGGGAGTCTGCTTCTCCCTCTCCCTCTGCCCCTCCCCTCTACTGGTGCTCTCTCACAATAAGTAAATAAAATCAAAAAAAAAAAAGAGAGATACAAACTTGTGGCATAAATAAGTCACTGAGACGAAAGTACAGAATAGGGAATATAGACAACAATATTGTAATAATGCTGTGTGGTGATATATGGTAACTACACTCATTATGGTGAGCACTGCATAATGTATGGAACTGCTGATCTGCTATGTTGTATACCTGAAACTACTAACACTATATGTCAACTATACTTCAATAATAAAAATTTTTTAAAAATTATACTCAGTTGAATTTTTGTTCTCCTTAAGGAAAGAAGGCAACTGTATGTAAGAAAAAAAATCATGCTCCAGTGGAATACAAAGCACTGCTTACAGCATGACTTTCTAAGGTGTCTGATTCTGATTCATTCTCTTTAAGCTATAACTCTGTAAATTGTAGATAACTGATAATGCAAATAATCCTTGCCTATATCCATGAAAACAAACTGTCAGATGGAGGGTTTCTGATTCCTAAGGGGGGAAGAAGCCAGTTTTGATGCCCTTTGCTAATTCACTTCTCTTTTCCTATTTTTTTAGTTCTCCTTTGAACTGGTTGTAACATCTTTTCTGGTTCCCTCAATTAATTAATGTGTTGATTAAATTTTTGGCATATTCATTTTTTTCAGCTTTACTGAAGTAAAATGGACAAAGTTGTAAGATTTAAAGGATACAACGTGATAATGACATGTTCATTTTATAGCTACTTTCAAAGCCATGATTTTACCTTTTTCAAAAATTACCTTTCTGATGCATCAGTCAGGGTTGTGGGGCAGGAAATGGTAGCACCCTCGAAGAGGAGACTGAAGAGACTATTAGCTTGAAGGGACTATTAGCAGAGGTGTTGGCAAAGTGAAGTAGCCAGGATGCTGAAGCATCCCAATTAACAACCTGGGAACCTGGTACCACCTCTAGGGCCTGCTGGGCACGGGGAGAGAGCTGCAGCCAGACCTAAGACAGACACAGATCACTGCCTGGCAGGAAGGGACTGGAGAATAAATATGACTTGTCTCTCCTCTTGTTCTTTGAGCCCCATGAAGCCAGATAGTAATGGTGACAGGCTGATACAGTCTAGTGGGTTCATTGCTGTTTCCACATTTTTCAGTCAAACCAGCCAACATGAGCCATAAATTCTCAGTGAACTGAGAAGATCTGGTCCATGTATGTGATAAAGACTTTTACAGAACCTAATTATATAAGTATGCTTTACATCTACATAAATAATACAGCCCTTTGGTAATAAAGCTCATATAAAACAGGTACTGTGTTTTGATCGCTTTCTCTACATCTCATGGTCTTACGTTCACGCTGTATAGGGGCCCAGGGCAGGCCACCCCAAAATGTGCCACAATGGCATATTGGTTATTCTGAATGAAGCTACTTGGAAAACAGCCAGGGCAAGAACACTCAGACCCTCCTCCATCCTGGCTGAAGGTGGGAAATAAATCTCCCATATGAAAGGTACCTTTTCTGTACTAAGAAGTAAAAAGACATCCTTATCACCAGAGCAAAGACTTTAAAGTTGAGAACGCTGTACAAACAAACCTTGTTACTTTTTACTAATTTACAACCTCAGCCCAAATTCTGCTTTGAATCCCTTACTAATTATAGCTCCCAAACATTTGCTTTATCTTGTCAATTCCTCACAAATGTACTGTCTCTCTCTAAAATGCATAAAAACTGCCTGCCTTGGTCATTTCTTTGGGTCTCAATTTCATTATTGGGCCTCTATGCACACATAACAAAACTTTGGGTTTCTCTTTTTAATCTATCTCATGTCAATTTAATTCGTAAAGCAGTTGGAAGAATCTTGAAGAAAAAAGGAAATTTTTTCCTCTCCTACAGTTGGCGAAGTCAGCAGGATACTCTAAGTTGCTGGAGATTGATTGCTCACCCTGCCTCAGCTAAGAGACTGGGTCATCTGACATACAGCCAGTGGGAAAGTAAGATTTCTTACCATGTCAGCCTACTGGCATCTCCATCGGCAGGTCCAGTGGTGTGAGAGTAGCTTCCTTGCTTGTCAGAGCTGGAGAAATCTCATTCCAGTAGTGCTTGCCTGGTGTCACAGATTAGTGGGTCCATGACTAGATATGTCTCACATCTGTGGGAGACCAGAGCCACCATACACACCACATCATTCTTGCCACCTGTGCAACAAAGTTTTTGCATTCTTGGATCATTTTTGGGAGTAAACTTTGGGTCAGGGGGGTTGTTGCATCATCTATGCCCTGTTCAGGTTCACCTCTTAACATCATGGTAAAGATTTATTCTAAGCCTGTAAAGTTGCCTCCAGGTTCTTCTATATATTTACTACTGGAATAAATATATTAATGGTGATCCCACATATCAATGGCCAAACGACAGATCTTTTGAATTGGAAAAACTTCTATATTTGAATTGTTTTTTGTTTTGTTTTTTTGTTTTTTGGAAAGCTCTGATTCCAAGCAGCTGCCTTATTGGTTATTTATGGGAGTATCAAATTGAAAGGAAAACATGGAAAAGTATAGCAGATAACCTTGGAGAATCCCTTAATAAAATTAAAGAACCAAAGTCAGATTTAAAATAAGAATTAGAAACCAAATCTGACATAAATCCTCCTTCTTATACCCCTCTTTTAGCCCCCAATCCCTATCACTGACATTCTAGAAGATCTTCTGGATCTCTGGGCCCATGGTCTAGACACTTCCCTTCACAACCCAGTGCCATCTCCTCAGCCGATTTCCTTAAATCCTAGAACTCCAGCTTCCCCAAGAAGAACCCTTAAACAACCAGCTGCCTATCTTAACTTCCCTTTCTTTGCAAGGTTTACAGAGGGCACACTGGCCTTGTCTCCAGGCCCAGGGAACACAGGTTATTTGAGTAAATGTTGAACCTCAGGGAGTAAATCTAGCAGCAACACCTGGGAAAGCTCAATTTCCTGAACCTTAAAATTCCTCATATTTTCCAAGGCTTTGTAATCAAGCGCTGCCAGTTTCAAGCATTCCTATGCAATGTCTACGGATGCATCCTGACCTCCACTGCAAAGAATTCATGTCCCCTGGACAGTAACAGACCTTTTACATTGCAAAGCTCCTTCACCTCTATTCTTAGAGAATCCTAACAAACTTAGAGAGGAATTACAAAGACTAGTAACTATGCACAACCTCAGCTCACTCACAGAGATCTTGACTGGCTTACCAAGGGGAGTTCTTCCAGCCTGTGATTATCAGGTGGTTTTCAGACAGGCCAGATGGCTCCCTGGAGAAAAGTCACCTGAGAAGGGAAACAGATGGCCAGAGCCTCTCCCCAGCCCTCCTATGAATGACCAGGAGATGGCTCAGCTAGAGGCTGATATTCAAGGATCAACAGAGCGATACTGGAGGACTTTACTCCCCAAATAGATTGGTCTAAGGTTGAAATATGCACTCAGAAAGGAGGGGAACACCAAAAAGCCTTTGTTGAACATTTTAATCAACCTTTTCAAAGGCACACTGCATTCATTCCAGAAGCCTCAGAACATAGAAATCTAATCTCTGCTGTAACGGGAAATTTCCTCCCAATATGAAAAAAACAAACCCACAAGAATGTGGTCAGTTGGGCAGGGCAACTTCCAGGTCTAAGAATGAAGGCACCCACCCAGTTCTTTGAAAATAGTTTGCAGGAAAGCAGGGAAAACAAGAAACCAAAGGAACCAAAAGCAATAGTCCTTGCTTTGCAACTTGAATCTTTGGAAAGCATGAAGCATGATGTGGAGAATAACTCAGAGCCCACTCAGAAAGCTCCCTATTTGCCTCTAAACGATTGCTGATATTGCAAGAAACAAAAGCAGATATTGGAAGAGAAATTGTCCTGCACCTAAGAAAAAGGAGGGCTTAACACGCAATTCTCCTAAACCTCACAAACCTCAGATAATTCCTATTTCTCATGAGGGATGAGTCTCCCTTAACTGACAGCGTCAGCCAAACCTCAGGAGCAGCCCGGATCTACCATAAAACTTAAAATCGACGACCAGAAACTGGATCTCTTAATTGATACTGGTGCAACCATCTGCTCAGAAGATTTATCTCTACTTACCACCTCTGATTCTATTCAGGTTGTGAGAGTCTTAGTCCACCCCGAGATCCGTAGGCCCTTTTCACACTCATCATGCCTTCCTTGTTCCTAGCTGTTCACTGGCAAACCTTGATAGAGAATTTTGTTAATTTAATGCCACTATACATCTCAGTGAGAAAGGCATTTTTTTTAAATTTTATTTATTTATTTTTTTACCATTAGACCAAATCCCAAGTTTCCTACTTTCTTTAGTGGAAACTCATCTTAATCTAAATTCCTCAGAAGAGGATGAATCTTTAAAAGATGTCCAATTTGTCTTTGGGCTACACTTGCGAATGAAGTTGAACTGTCATGAAGTGCAGAGCCCCGGTTCATTTCTTGGAAAAGGAATAAACCATTTCAATCAGTAGCTCAAAACTGTCTTCTCCAGAAACCAGAGCAAGGAATTAACCCTATAATAGGCCCTCTCTTTTTTTAAAATTTATTTATTTGAGAGAGAGCAAGTGCATGTGCACGAGGTGGGGGGGGCGGGGGCAGAGGGAGAGAGAATCTCAAGCAGAGTCTGCCCTGGGCGTGGAGCCTGATGTGGGGTTTGACCCCACTGCCCCGAGATCATGACCTGAGTGGAAATCAAGAGCCACTCAGACATAATAGGCCCTCTCTTAAAACAGGATGTCCTTGTCTTTATTACCTCACCCTGTTAACACCTCAATCTTGCCAGTAAAGAAAGAAGGCAAAGGTTGACTCAGACGGAAACCAAATTTATTGATTTGTAAAGGACCTAAGGGACAAAAATAAACTCTTTTGGGATTCCTTGGCACCTTCCTCAGCTTTCTTTTCAGTCCCACCCAGACTCCCAATTCCTTTTTGCATTTCCATTTAAAGGGAGACAACTGCCATGGACTCATAGTCCACAAGGCTATGAGTCTCTCTCAATATTTCCTCAAGTCCTTCAAGCCAGCCTGGACTCTCTAACCCTCACCCAAGCTTCCACCCTAGTGTGGTATGTTGATGACCTTTTACTCTGTAATCAAACTGAGTAGGGAGCTTTTATAACTCCCTCATTCACTTAAAGGCAGTAGCTGAACAAAGCCATAAAACCTCTAAATCTAAACATCAGTGGGTACATGGAACTGTTATCTATTTAGGACATGAGATAGCTCAGGGCATTCAAAAGCTCACTCCAAAATGCCTTGAGTCTCTTTTGTCCAGCCCTCTCCCCAAAACAGTTAAAGTCAATTTTTAGGGGCAGCTTGCTACTGCCACCAACGGATTCCCAATTCTGCAGTTTTTGTTAGAACTTTGTATGCTCTTTTCTCAGATATCACCCCATAGCCTCTTTTTCTGGTCTTCAGAGGCAATAACCTCTTTTGAAGTCTTAAAATGACCTCTGTCCACACTCCTCGCTTACCTAATTTTGACAAGCCCTTCCAACCATACTGCCATGAAAATAATGGCTTTGCTACAGGCACTAGAGGACAACCTTCTGCCTCCCCTGTATGGCCGACAGCATATTTCCCATGCCAATTAGACCGTGTGGCATCAGGTGTGCCCCCATACATACATACATGCAGCTGCCACCTTGATGGACAAAGCCAGAACTCTTCCGTTAGGCTCCTCTGTTCCCCTGTATGCTCCCATGCTGTGCCTGCGCCCTTACAAATTCATCAGACACAGCAGCTCACTACACAATGACAAACCACTTACGAATAAGCTCTTTTGACTAACCTGTCATCTTACATCGTTGAAAAACTTTAAATCCAGCTACCTTACTGATAACGGAGAGCCCGACTTCATTCCCCGCAGTTGCCTTACAACTTTAAGTATGATCTCAAAACCACGAGAGGATCTCTCGGACATCCCGCCAGACAATCCAGACTTATTTTTGTGATGGCTCCTGTAAACAAAATTTCCAGGGAAACATAGTAACTGGGTGTGCCACAATTTTCCCACACAAACCAATGGAGGCATATTCTTTGCTCACTGTGAAATAGCCCAAGTGGCTGAACTCATAGCTGACTAGTAGAGCTCACACACTGGTGGGAGGGGAGAACTGCTACTATTGACAGAGATTCTGGAGTCTGCCGTGTTGTTGGCACAATTCGGAAATCTCATGGATTCTTACCTTTGGTGGAGATTCCCATTGCTAATGGGCTCATAATCGCTAACCTATTAAAAGCTATTCACCTCTCTTCTAAAATTACCATTATTCACTACTCAGTTGATACTAAGGCAATTGATATTATATCTTTAGGAAACCATAGGGCTAACAGAGCTGCTGAATATGCAGCCCAAAACAGACCACCTCCCTTATCCTCAGTCCACCCAATTTTTAACCCTACCTTTATCCAGGACTGATACTATTAATTATCAGGCAAATGCCCTCCAACCTGAAAAAGATAATTGGATACAAAAGGGTGAAAATGATTACCAGATGCATTCTTTTGTAGCCCCTTTTCTTTTAAACTTTTGGCTAGCACTTATCTCCCACCAAATGGGACACATGTGTGAAAATTAATGAAGGGAAACCTCACTAGAATGGAGTTGGGAGGTTCGGCCGGGGTGGGGGGGGCGGATTTCTCACACTCTACCACTCCTTTTCAATTGCAGACCCAACAGGAAGAGACTACCTTGCAAGTCAAAACTACTTTACTATCCCAGCAGCTCAGCTAATGAGAGACAGTCACAAATCAGCCAATGAAAAGCCACTATACTTCAAACTCCCAGTGTACTCCAATGGACTTTTTGTTTGTAACAGCCTTCCCAACTTCCCCCTCCCTCTATAAAAGAGCACTCCTCTCCTTTGCTCGGCAGACCCGCCTATAATTTTGCCATAAACTGCTTGTCCCAAACTGCAATTCTCTGCTATTCCCATATAAACCCATTTTTACTGGTAAAATAACTTGCAGTTTATTTTTAAGGTTAACATGTGCAAACAGAATAATTAAGGAACTAAAAGACAATTGGTTCTGCACTGGCATCCACAAAACTTCTGACCAAATTATTTCGCAGTGTACTTACTACTTGTAATCTTACCGAATCAGCATACCCCCAAAAAGTTCTTCTAGGCCCACATTGCCCTTTGTGGCACTTCAGATGGATTTTATAGACTTGCCCCCAGCCTTGAGCTATTCTCCCTGTCTGGCTACCATCTGCCTGTTTAGTGAATGGACTGAATGCTATCTGACCAGATGTGCTAATGTTGCAACAGTGGTAAAGAAATTAATAGCTGAGATTATTCCTCATTTTGACATTCATTTATGGGTTGAGTTGGACCAAGGAACTCATTTTACAGCTGAGATAAACAACCTGCTTGCAAAAACTCTGGGGCACTCATTAAAATTTCACACCCCATATCAACTTCAATCAGGGCAAATGGAACATCAAAATCTAGACTAAAAAGGACCTTAGAAAAGATTTGTTAAGAAACGGACTTCAATGGCCAGAAGCACTGCACTTGGCCCTTATTAAGATCCAGAATATTCCAAATGGGAGACATGGATTGATCTCTTTTAAAAACAGTGTTTGGTCATCCAATGCCTACTGATATCTCTAAACCTTTCATTTGTGGATTAAGTGAACAATTTGATGCTATGACTAACTATATACAAGAACTACAATTTGACGCTACGACTAACTATATACAAGAACTACAATTTGATGCTACGACTAACTATATACAAGAACTACAATTTGATGCTATGACTAACTATATACAAGAACTACAATTTGATGCTACGACTAACTATATACAAGAACTACTATGCTTGAAGCATATCACCAACAGGTAAAAGAGCCATGGCCTCCACCAACTGATGAGCCACCCCTTCCGACCTGGAGGCTGGACATACATCAGAGTCTTTAGAAAAGAAAATGCACCGGAGCCCTGCCTAAAAGGAGCTTATGAGGTGCTGTGACCACCTACACTGCCATCAAAATAGAAAAGAAACCCTCCTGGGATTCAACAAGGCACACTAAAATAGACCCAGATCATCACTCACAAGACAACTGGGAGATGACCCCTACAGGTGCCCTGAAAATAAGGATTTGTAGGGCCCAGTCCCAGGCCTCAGAAGCAAAGGGCACCATGACATAGACAGCTTTTCCCAAGAAACTTCTCTTTCACCTACCCTTCCTTTTTTTTTTAATATTTTATTTATTTATTTGAGAGACACACAGTGTGACAGAGATAGCAAGAGAACACAAGCAGGAAGGAGAGGGAGAAGCAGACTCCCCACTGAGCAGGGAGTCCGACACGGGGCTCGATCCCAGGAGCCTGGGATCATGACCTGAGCCGAAGGCAGAGGCTTAACAACTGAGCCACCCAGGCGCCCCTAACTACCCTTCCTTTTTAAAAAGACCCCATGATATTGGGGCACCTGGGTGGCTCAGTCAGTTAAGCATCTGCCTTCGGCTCAGGTCATAATCCCAGGGTCCTGGGATCAAGCCCCACGTCGGGCTCCTTGCTCGGTAGGGAGTCTGCTTCTCCCTCTGCCTGCCGCTCCCCCTGCTTGTGGTCTCCCTCTCTCTCTCTGGCAAATAAATAAATAAAATCTTAAAAAAAAAATCTGCTCTTTCTAAAAAAAATTAAAAAATAAATAAAAAGACCCCATGATATTAAAACAAAACACCTTTCTTTTTAATACTTTTTCCGCATTTATACATCATTTAATAGAAGGCAGACTTCTAGAGAATGCTATCTCTATCCTATTTCCCTGCTCCGTTTCTACTGTGGGCTCTTCTCCAACCCATGTCTTCTTACTAACTCTTTTTCAACAAGTTGGTTGCAGACCAAACACCCACTTATGCCAGTTTACCAAACATTAATCAGTCTGACTGTTGACTATGTCAACATCTAGATAATGCAAAAAACACCTGGAACTGGTCTTTGTCCCTGCCGATGTAAACACCTGAGAGACTGAGCCTGGGCGAAGGGTAAACAACAAGGTGTGATATCCATGATCAGAAGAAAGTCACTTTGCCTTTTTCTCTAGTGAGTTATGTGGGCCTCAAAAATCTCTACAGAAGCTCAAGGACCATCCCTTGTCAGGGTTAAAACAACAGCTGAAGATTTTTCCCCTTACACTGAACACAGACATGCCACTGGACTTCTGGGTGATATACCCAGCTTGTATTACAACCAAACTCTCTGGTTTGATGCTGAAAACGGCATTTTCAAACTTGGCAAGGAGATTAAAAATAATCCTAGCATAAAAGTTTGCCAAATCACCCAATGGTTTACGTATCAGCCTTGTACAAGAGGCAGTAGCTTGGTTGCCTCTCTTGTTAGACTGCCCAATCTAACCTAACCTTGTCTGTAAAATCATACCCCTCTTTTAATTTTATGTGGCAATAAAGTGTATAAAAGGTTCCCACCTAAATGTTCAGGACAATGTGGACTCATACCTGGCTCCTTTTGTCACCAAACACTCCACCCTAAATGCCAACGTACAAACTTGGGCTCTTTTGCTCACAAAAATTATGGCACATAATTATGCCTGTTGAAAAATCATAGAAATTCTGCTTGTACATCTCAAGTCCTCCTTCTTTTCAGCATTTGGGGTTTTTATTCCCAAATCTTGGAGATTATGAATTAGGAAAGGCAATCCTAAGTCTCCCTGCGTAGTGGAATGAGAGTTCAATACCACTACACAAACTTTGAAACTACTCCAATCAGAAGTTAACAGCTTAGCCTCTATGGTACCCAGAAATTGTCATGCCCAACATACAACAGCAGCGCAGCAAGGGGAAACTTAGACAGTCACTGGTGAAAAAATGTTGCTTCCGTGGAAGCTGGGACTTCAATGGGACAGGTAATACCTAACTTCAATCTGTTAAAAGAAAGGATTAATATTTTCAGCAGGTAAATGAAGCACAGACATTTTATTGGACTGATCTATCTCTGGGGCTGGGGGGCTAATTTAATGGGGTGTGGGGGAATGGGCTCTGAATTGTTCTTCTGTTTGTCCTCATTCTATGTTCCTTTTTCTCTTTGCAGATCTCTTACCACTCATTTACTAACTCTGTTTCTCTCTCCATAGTCACCAGCTCAGCTTTTCCTATGTGAAACTTCCAGGGAAGTTTCAGAGGGAACTGGAGGGGCCCGGAGCAGGCCACCCTAAAATATGCCACAATGGCATATTGGTTATTTTGAACTGAAGCTATTCGGGAAACAGCCAGGACATGGACGGACCTTCCCCTCTACCCCCTGAAGGCAGGAAGTAAGTCTTCCTGGTGAAAGGTACCTTCCCTGTACTAAGAAGTAAAAAGACATCCTTATCACCAGGGACTTTAAAGTTGTAGAAACAAACCTTGTTCCTTTTTACTAATCTACAACCTCAGTCCAAATTCTTAGAATTCCTTACTAATGAAAGCTCCCAAACATCCGTTTTCTTTAGCCTGTCAATTCCTCTCAAATTTATTGTCTAAAACGTATAAAACCTGCCTGCCTTGGTGATTTCTTTGGGTGTCACTTTCATTATTGGGTCTCCATGTGCACACAATAAATCTTGGGTTTTACTTCTGTTAATCTGTCTCATGTCAATTTAATTCCTAAAGCAGCTGGAAAAACCTGACAGGGAAGGCAATTTTTTCCTTCCCTACAACTGCTTCCTCTAAGGTATTTTTACCATAGTTTTAACAACCATCATGTTAACATATATCTGAAAAAAAATCTAATATTCTCTCCAGCTTCTGGACACAAAGCCTTTGACCAAAAAGCAAAATGTTGATACCATTTTTTATGTGTTTTCATATACTTATTCTCTGAGTATATATTTGGTGAATATATTTTTGATGTGGTAAACAAAGGCAGAAGAAAAATTATTGAATTTCCTTACTACCTGCAGCCCATTGCTGGGTCCTTGAGAGGGGCAGAGTGATACTCCTCTAGGAACTCAACTGCCTCGATGTTGATACTTGGCTAAGGGCAAAGGCAATCTTATCCCAACCCCCAGGACTTGTAAGACTGTAACATATATAAAAATCCTTTTGGAAACTTCCTTTATCTCTACCCACCAAGATACATGTTGGCAATCATCCCCCAAGCATATGACCCATCCATACACATCTGAAGGGTCTCATGACTGAATTTCTACTAAACAGTAATAATGACCCTTCCCAACAATAGCTAGCCCCCTCAGGATCCTGGAAACCTTGTTTCCAAAATACCTGGAAGGCTTACACTATCCCTAACCCCCTCCCAACTTGAAAGTATATAATGGATCACTCCTCATGACCCCACTGCAGCTTGTTCTGCCCACGGATCCTGTGTCTGTGCTTTGATAAAAACCACCTTTTTGCACCAAAGATGTCTCAAGAATTCTTTCCTGGCCATCAGCTTTGAACCCTAACGTCTTTCCTACATCACCGTGGAGAAAAGAAAACACAT